GTAAAATATCTGTTCCATATATTGGACCGTCGACGAGTCCAACTCGGCGCGCGTCCTGGTAGGTTGTAAACCTACAACTTGAAACACGATTAATATAAGTCCGGATCTACTCATATCAGTCTGAACATCCCCGATTCTTAATCCGTCTTAATCCGTCAAACGACTTGTTACTTTTAAAACTTTTATAAGATCCCACGTATTCGCCGGTCTGTCAGTATTGTCAAAATGAGGGTTTCCAATCTACAGCTGTAAGGAAGAGTACCCACCTCATCAATCAGACGGGTAAACTGCCTCTGGGTGCTCTCCAGCTCCAAAACAATTCCCCGACTTCCATGAGATGCAGATTCAATAAATTTTTTAGTACACTTCAATGTAACTTATAAAATAAACATTCTCTTAATGATTGATGTTACATTAAATTTGTACTGAAGGATGCCCCTTGATCTTTTTATAATGCCATACTTACTTTTTTTACTTTGGGCGATGCTCGATCGAAATCTCCTCCACTCTACGTCTCCAGATGGTTCTGTCGCACATAACTGTTCGGAGATCTTCTACCCGCAACCCTGTGTCCCTGGCTACGGTGTCAAGAAAAGAGAGTGGTCTCCTCCCACGCCTGAACTGTGGCAGCCGCCAAGGAAGGATGGTAGAGATGACCTGGTCTGAAGCTCTCATGCAATGCCCAGCAAATCTGGCACGTCTCTGTGCAACGATGGTGGAGATGGAAGGGAGGTCACCATAGATTTGCTTTAGGGTTGGATGCTTCTTCCATGAAAGATTCCTGGCTTTCATTAGGAGCCTGGTGTAGCACCCGTCGAGACGCTTCTCAAACTGCTTGTTCAAGGTCCAGGTTTCTGAGCCATACAGCAGAACAGGTTCGATGCATGCTCTGAAGAACTTGACTTTCAGCTGGTCAGAAATGCCAGAGGTCCATACCTTCTGCAGTTTGATACAGGCTGACCAAGCCATGCCTTTCCTGGTGTTGAAGTCCTTCCTGCTCTCTGCAATATATGAGCCCAAGTATTTGAAGTCATCAACCTGCTTGATCTGGTAACCGGATATTGAGTTCACGGGGGCAGCATCAGGAATGTTGATGGTCATGTATTCGGTCTTGGAAGCATTCATCGCAAGTCCGACATGTGCTGCTGCAGTCTCTAAATCCGAGAGCAGTTGCTGGACTTGCTCTATGGTATCGGCAGTCAAGGCCAGGTCGTCAGCGAAGTCAAGATCTGTGACTCTGACCGCAGGTACTCTCCGACTTTGCCTGGGGATGATGGTTAGGCCATGGTCAAGAGTCATGCAGTTCCTAAGGACATAATCGAGGACGATGATGAAGAGGAAAGGAGCGAGTGTATCACCCTGAAGGACCCCGATGAGTGTTCTAAAGAAGTCTGTAAGGCCGTCAATGGTTTTGACTCTGGAGTGCGATGAGTCATACAGGAGCCTGATAGCATCAGTTATGGGAGCAGGGACGCCGTAGAGGGAGAGGATGTGAAACAAGGCATCCCTGTTGATACTGTCGAATGCTTTCGAAAAGTCGACGAACACGATAGCTGCTGATCGATTTCCGATTTTACACTCTTCTAGGATGCGTCGTAGGGCAAGTATCTGAGGGAGGGTAGATCTTCCTCTGCGGAAGCCATTTTGGTTTGGCCGCAGTAGGGGATCCAGGTATGGGTAAATCCGGTTGAGGATGAGTTTGTTGAAAACTTTCGCTGCAACCGGAGCCAATGAGATACCTCGATAGTTCCCGGGGTTGGTCAGGTCGCCTTTCTTGGGGATGGGTATAATAGATGCCGTTGTCCAGGCTTCAGGGATTACTCCATCAATTAAGGCCCTGTTGCAGAAACTGAGGAGGTCGTCACGAAGTTGGGGAAGCTTCCAAACTGAGGGAGGGATGCTATCTAGGCCTGGAGACTTGGAGGACTTGATGGACTTGAGGACTGAATCGAGTTCGGACATGGAGAAAGGAAGACAGCTAATGGGAAGGGTGTCCGAGACTCTCTGGTTGTAGAAGGGCAAGGAGAGGTCAGGGGGTGGCTGCTCTGTCCCGAGGAGCGACTTGAAGTGCTCAAACCAAACGTTGAGCCGCTGTTCGGTGGTGCCCCCAGGCACTTTACTATAGGGCACGGTGTTAGGAGACGTTAGCTCTCTGATGATGCGCCAAGAGCTCCGATGCCTGTGCTCAGGGTTAGTCTGCTCCAGACATGCAGTCTGTTGTTGGACATACTGTGCAGTAGCGGTGTTGTATGCTTCGTCCAGCTGCTTCTTGGCGTCTTCGAGCTTTTCTTTAGATGAGAAGGAGGGAGAAGTCCTATGACCCAGGGATGCAGTCTTGAGAATATTGCGATGGTGTGCAATATTAGGGTCGTTATATGGGTTTCCCTTTTTCTTCTTCTTTTTCTTCGGAAGTATTCGAAGAGCTGTGGTCTTGACACTATCAACCATCAGGTCATAGTCAGACTGGAGCTCTGCTTCTTGCAGGAGAGCGCTGTACCTGTTCTTCACTTCCACTGCATACTGATGTTTTAAGCAGGGATCGTGGACAAGAGGGGTCCAGTCGACACTCCGAAGGGGGTCTTTGGCCGGGGTCCTGTTTGCTCTGTAACTGGCTTGGACAAAGCAGGTGACTATACGGTGATCGGAACCGACCGTCTGCATGGTGTTGAAGGCCTGACAGTTCTTCACACTATTGGTCCATTTCTTCCGCCAGAGAATGAAGTCAATTTGATGCTTTGACCTTTTGGGGTCTTCGTAGGTCCAAAGCTTACTGATTGGCTTCTGGAAACGGGAGTTGGCAGCAAATAGCTGGTGCTCGTCCATGAGGTCCAAGAGACGTTCACCGTTGTCATTGGTGGTGTCATGACACGAGAACCCAGTACCCCTGCTGAGCTTTGCGTTGAAGTCTCCGCTAACAGCTAGCATGTTGTGAGGTGGGACTTTAGCGATGGTCCTGGAGAGGGAACTGTAGAAAGAAGACTTGTCGTCCATGTCGCTACAGTTGGTGGGTGCGTAGCATGATACCACTGATAGTCGTGGATTACCATTAACATGGATGACAATGATCCTGCTGCAATAATGCCATATTGAATTGTTTAAATGATATAAGTCTGCTAAGTTGTTTCCGTATTGTTTAAATAAAGGTTTCGTCGCATCAACTTTGTCATACTCAGATGAATATTTCTATTCAAATGGTACTAGTTACCTGTCATTTCTTTTTTAAAACTAGTTACCTGTCTGGGATTAATTTGTGGCGAGACAGTATATTTAGATTCAACAATACGACACTCCTTCGTGGATTGTATTAAATGCCAGGGGTGATATAAAAACCCACAATTTACTTTTACCGTCCTTTGTTATTTCACTGTCCTCCTCATGAAATGTAGTTCGAAAACTGACACTGCTCAAGATCTTGCTTTTTACCGTTTACCTTTAGTTGTTTTGATGATTGTCTACAATTTAATACTTCTGTTATCTCGGTAATTACTTTATCATTACTATTTTATTTATGCATTCAAATTGGGTTGAATTTGAATCATTGCTATTAGGTGCTACTCCATGTTTGTTACTCTAAGGAAATTAAACCAAAGAAGCATCCACTCAATATCATAAACATCAATTGCCTAGGAAGTGGCTTTTCCTTTTCTATTTGCTATTCTAGGTATGGCTTGATTCAGATTATAAGGTCGTGCCCAACCCAAATTCAACCTTATCTTCCAACTTTGGTTTTGGAATAATTTAGTGAAAATGTAAAACAGATAATACAAAGATAAAAGAAAGTTTACAAAATTGAAAGCAGAGTGGTTCTAGAAATTCAATTCAGGTTAATTGAATATTAAATATATTGTTCATGAGACTTGAGAGTAAAGCATAGCAGACCTCTTTAGTTCTGAGAGGCAAAGCTAACCGGACCAGGAATAAACATCAGTGCAATGATTAGGGGATGCAATTAGGACATACAACGTTTAACGAATGCATTACTCAAACTTTTGATTCATTTTTTTAGCTCGACATTACATTGTAACAATACAGAACAGACATCCCTTCTTCAGGTTCATTGAGGAAATCGTACCCGTATACCCGTAGCGTTATACATGGCAAGTATCTGGACTAATGATAACTTAGGATCTCCATGATCCATCAATCATTAATTCCTCTCAGATTCCCAAGCTGCATTTAAAGCACTTAACAGCACCAGTTTTAACTCCAGCACCTCCTCTGCAAGCTGCAAGTGCATCCAGATCATGACGTTCAGAATGAGGATAATTGGTGAACTCTACCTTAACAACAGTAAACTGTAAACTACAACCATATCGTCAAATATGTGGAACAGTCGACAAGACTGGATAGGGAAAACCCCTTTTGGGTAACCTCCTTGGATTCTTCACCAGGAACTTTCGCTAAATCCCACACTAGGAACTCAACCTAGGCCCATCTCCGCATAGAGACATATCTCGGAAGTGGGTTTGCTCTGAGCCAGGTAGCGACAGCTTCAAGACTCCAGGGGTCTGTTGCATTGATATTTATTAATTTATGATTTCGTATATACTTTGGGAGTCCTGGCGTGCAGCTAGCAGGAGTTCCGAGTTGCATTCTGTGGGCACGGTGATAAGACCTCCCTCTTAAAGTAGGAGGCCAGAAACCGTTTACCAGAACAGAGAGAGAGAGAGAGAGAGACTTGAGAGTGATCATGAGGTTGGTGGGCATAAAATGGTGTGCATCAGATGCGTATCATAAAATATTGTTTTTGGAAATTTATCAGCTCTTAACTTTGGTAAGAAAATACAGCAATTTCTTAGCAATTATTTGTTGATATGTGGCAATTTGTGTGTAACGTATATTTTACTTTCTGATTTGTAACTTTCAAACTAATGTACAATATGTCTGGCCTTTATTTGGTCAACCAAGAAGTTTGTTCAGCCCAAAGAATTTGTATTTATCAGATCAAAATTGGTTTTCAAATCAAGGTAAACAGATATTTTTAATTCGTTTTCCTCCCTAGCCCAGAATGATGTAGGTATGTAGAAATGTCAATGAAAGATTTTGATCATGCTCTTAACATCATTGACAGTTTGCTCGACGGAGAGCAAAATCAGACGAGGTTGAATGAACTGTCTCAACTGCATCAGATTTTGAAATGCAGCAAAGATAGAGTAGACCAGTCGATAACTTTCGACTCTTTTGCTGGAGCAATTGATGATGAGGACTGTTCTGGTTATCTCCAGGTTGGAACATGAAATTCACTTGTCTTAATGTTGAAAATTTACATCTTGCGGAGCAATTTAGAATGTCTTTGTTTTTAAATGGACAATTAATAATTGTATAATTTACCCAGGAATTAGAGGACTGCTTGAATGAGGTACATAATCAGATAAGTGACGAGTTGGAAAGAACAGATGCCTCTATTGATAATAATAGCAGTAACAAAGAGCAAACTCAGAATTCTATCTCAGACTTAGTGAGTTCAATTATTCTCAGTTATCATAGTCATCTCGTAGAATAAGTGCAGTTACTTTGAATATTCCTCGTTTCAATAATTATTTTCGATGTAAGACAGCTTTTAAAATTTAGTCTTTAACCCTAAATAACATGAATAATTTATCCAGGACGCATATTTACACATAGACGATCCCAACAAGCTTAGTAGACTATCTGATGACGAAGGAATTGGTCTTCCGGATAATAATCAGGTGTGACATATTTTGAACCATTCTTTAATTTAATTCTTTAATTTCATAATAGATGAGATCAATTTCTGATAGATCAATGAGCCTCCTAAGTAGCGCCCATGCCTCATAATCACGTGATTACTAGGCTCAACATTTGAAAGATTGTTTCATATTTACTATTTAGTGACTTTAATCCGTGACATTAGACAAATTCATTCATTAACATTAGAATTTATTTAGATTAGGGAGGGTGAGGAAGGCTCTGGTACGCTAATTAGAGGATCAGGAATAACTTACCAGCCTACTTTGGAGGAGGAAGGAATGATTAAACAAACCAGGAATCAGTATAACGTGAGTTGAAAGTTCCAGATGTTTGAACGTTACTTTAATTGTGAATGGGCGGAGTTTTCACAGCTTAATGATGTTGTGTTTTGTGTAGGAGTGATCATTTACTTCGGGTGGCTGTGAGTTGTAGGAGGACAGTTAAAAAGTTGTTGAAGAAAAATTCTGTGAACCAGAACTGTTTATTTCTTAATCATCCTCGCGCATACTGATGACTCAACCAAGCCACCGTGTTTTTTACTTAGACTCAGAAATGTTTCGGTGTTTTCGTGTGCCAGATAATTGTTTGCCAAATAGTTTTCGTCCTGTTAACGCTGCCGTTCAGGTGCAGCTGAGTCTAACAGAACAAGATAGAACAGAGCTGTACATTTCCTCGTTAGAGAAGGAGTTGTTAGTCTGCAAAACACGGGAACGGGAACTTGTGGTTGATAGGGCTGATCTTGTGGAGAAAATCAGGATTATCCACGGCATCCTGGAGGACAAACAAAAACAGGTTTATGTCGTACGCTTTTTTTCTATTTGGTTAAATCATTTTGGATAAATGACATGACCATCCTTAATGACATGAGAGCTGTCGGCTGGCAGCATGGAAATTGGTATGAAATTATTTCAGCATAAATACCTATCTTCTGATATCTTGATAAGAAATTTGTCGACTTTTAAAAAGAATATTGAGTGATTACCCCAGTGGCAAATAGTCAGGCGTCCAGGAATTTAACACCTAGTCAAAATTTGTTGATAACCGGTAAAAAAGATTCTTGTAGAAAAAATATTCACATTAATTTAAAATTAAATCAAAATTGGTCGCTCTCAGGGCTAACGCGATGTTACATCATTTTATCGACTCGAAGTTCGAATCGAGCGCATTCCTAGATTCCATGACTATTTCTTACCTATAAGATTGCTTGACTATTTTTTGCGCATTCAGACACCAAAAAACGCGCAGAAAACGCGAGCTATCCATTCCTCCTTCCTCAACATCCCGGAATATGAAAAAATAGTCATGTAAAATAGTCATTTGAAATAGTCATGCAAAATTTCAGCTCTGATACGCTAAAATATCAAGTTAATCTTAAACAATCGACAATCTAATATGAATCCTCCCAATCCTCCCTGCCATATTAACTGGTGAACGGTGTAAATATAGAGCGGTATTTTAAAATGTAGCATTCAAAATTTTATGGATTCAAGTTGGCTCCTTTAGTCTAGATTCATTTAGAAAATTCTCGAAGTTCGAGTAATACAGTATTCTCAGGGTTTGGCGCTTAAGGAAGCTTCACATCCGAGACCGATTTCCACGAATCAATTTAATATTGTAGCTACAAGTCAACAACAGTGCAAGTGGGAAGGAAGTGAATCTAGCCATTGCTACTATATCAGGGGAACTCGTGTGTTCTAGGCTTAAGCAAGTTTCACATCCTAGATCATCTAGAGTACAGTGCAGACAACCCCCTCCATTATACATCCCTATCCCGCAGTTTATCATTGTTTATTGTCCAGTATTGTATCTAACCTGGCAGAAGCAAGCTTCAGATCCAGAGTCAGGCCATAAATATCGACACAAGGTCGAAGCTACTTTCAGAGTGGCGAATCGTTCATCATGCTGATGATAGTTGAATCTTGGAACTCGATCCTCCGAGTTAATGTGAAGGATAGTATGGAAATGTCTGTGGGCTAGGCTGTATAGTTCTTTTAAAAAATATTTCCTTGCGTTTCAAATAAATTAAAGAATTCTCAGAAATTTTTTATTTAATTTCAAAATTTGCAATTGCATATTCATCCGGTAATTATTCTAATGGATACGTTAAGCATTTCAAACTAATCTTGACCTGGGAGAAGAGCTGACCAGTGACAAGTCGGCCGCAAAGCGGCCGAAAAATATATAGCCTTTTTTTCTTCCCAAAATGGATTCCTAGTCATATTTAAAATTTATTCCACTGGGGTGATTACCCTGATACCAATGTGAGAAATTATTCTAGATGATAATTAAATATTTAGAGTACAGATTCTAATATATTCGCATTTGTTTGGCTTCCCAACCAATTTCACCTGTCACTGGTTTCACTTCCTTAAAAACCACTTCCTTCTACAACCTCCAACCCAGTACTTTCAGCTGAACAACTACGTGGGTGACTGTGAGGAGAAGCTAACAACATCCCACAACCGATACGAAGCAGCGATAACAGAGCGTGACGCGGCCCTCGCTGAGCGTGACAAGATGTTGGTGGATCAGGATCCCCTGATATTGGAGCGGGACAGGTTGTTGAGCGAGCGAGATAGTATGTCTGTGGAACGTGATAACATGGAGTCAGACAAGTGGGATATCATGAAGCAGCTCCGTGAAGTGGAAGACAGGTTGGTCCGCTAAATTTTACTAACCAACTTTACTAAACTTTACTTAACAAAATTCAACCGCAACTAATAATCTATTTAAAACCAGGACCTGAGCTCTAAATAATTCAATTATCCTACAATTTATATCGCTTATCTGTTAAGTTATTAAAAGTGCCACCCTTTCGCTATAAATTCTATAAATTAATAAGAAATGCCGCTTAAATCATGCCTCATGGAAATAAACCAACATCAATAATTTTTTAACGGGCTAGCTGGAATTCGATTTTCTAATAATTCATTTCACTAATATCTTGAGTACCATCCTTTCGCTATATATTCTATAATTTATTATTCGAACCGTCACACGTCTCTATAAATAGAGTCCCCACAATTCACTTACTCACTTACTGTGCACATTGCAAGTGCTAAGTTGCAAATTTTGCATGCTAAACTACACATTGCACGTGCTAAACTGCACTTTGCACTTCTATAACTGTCATGTTAGCACATATCCCTCCTCTCTCGACAAATAGATTCCTCTCCGCGCTCAGTAAGTCAGTAGACATCTCCCTGCAGAGCTGGGAACCTACCTTACCACATCAATAATTACATAATGACTTAAGTACTTAATGACCAGCCGATATAATACGCTACTCAGTAGACAGGGTCTATATTTGATCATAGTTCACTCCGGGCAAGGCAAGATTGTTGTTTTAAAATATTTAGAACAACTGCTTTCGCTGGGATGAACTTATTTATGTGAGACAAAGAAACAAAGAAGATATGTTACATCATTTGGCGATTAGAACAGAACAAATGGTTTATAATTGTCCCAATTATTGGAATAGTGTATGAAACACACGAAATTGATGGTGATGTAACGTTACGAAGGCCAATTTTACCATGTTTCAACACTAATACTGGTGTAATTCCCCCTACTTTTTCCTTTTAAGAACACAGATTCGACCTGCTCTCCACATTGCTTAGATGAGGAATTTACTAATAGCTAGCTGTAGCAACAGTGCCATCTGTTACCCTCAGCTGGTGCATATCAAGTTTCAACCTTTACAAAATTAACCGGAACCTTGCAATGCGTTAACCAACTATACGTTTATATTACCAAACTCTCAACTCGATTAGACCCATTCTCTTGATTGGTGTTAAGGCGATGAGAAGCCGCCCGTAGGGTGCTGTAAAAGTGAATGATAAGTTAAGGGGGGATGCAACTCCACTATTGTGGACTATAAAAATATGGCCGATTAGTCTTATTCATTGAATGTTGCCAAATATGAAAGAAATCTAATTGTGCAATTTGAAGCGTTTGAGGATGCAGATGAATGATATTGATAAAGAAGGGGAAACAATAACTGACGTTAACTTTTATCCCAATTAAGTCAAATTTAGTGATTGCATCCCCCCTAGTTACCGTATATCGATGAGATCAGGATACCGCTCACTACGTGAACTTAACATGAGTCCTGTCGCAACTCTCAGCCTCTGTCTAGATTAGTTTCACTGCGGTATATCCAGGATCAAATAGCACTTGTTAAGCACTCAAAATAGCACCGCACAAATAGCAATTGTCATGTCCTGTGAGCTTTTCTCTACGTCAGGTAACTAGATTAGATACAATTATATTGAGATGTACGTTTAATTTGAAAATCATGGAATTTCGTGCTGCATACCATCTGAGATTATTAGTTTATCGGATATCCAAAATCTCACAATGTTGGGGCCACCTCGTACCTCTATGCAAATATTGGGACCGCGTCCGTACCCTTCCACGAAATTTAAACACGAATTGGACTACTCAAGTTTGATCACACTTCACAGTTTGAAGAATTTAGTCAAAGAAGTTAAACAGGAAGTTAAACACGAGAGATCAGTTTCTTCAATTAGACGAAGGTGGAGCTGTTCGGGTCCGACCGCAAGTATTGAAACACGTGACTGCTTAATATGCTAAACCCAAGCTGTGGTCAAGCGTCTGTGCACTTTGTGAAACTCAGTAACTACTTATGTTTAATTCTTCAGACAAATCTACTCACATGGTTGAGTTACCCAGCCAAGAATTTAGGAAAAGGATTTTCTCAGTGGGGTGAGAACACGGAAGAGGCAGTAAAGTGCCACTTTTAGTGTAAATGACATGTCCAATTTGCACCCCATCAATAAATAATTCATCAAATTTCCCACGCATTTTGGGCAATAATTTACATGTATTGTCAGGTTTACAAAAGCTCAAATTTCCTACTTTTTTGAAAAAGAGTTAAAACAATAGTAAAAACAATAGATAAAACATTTTTCACGATACTCCCAGTCCATGAAACATCTAGACACAGTTTTGTCCGCTTTTTCTCTCATTGTCTCCCCCCATGCAGTAGACAGTTAACGAGTCAGACTGTATCCGGGCTCCCTCCTTCACCCCAGCACTACAGGAAAACAGCCCCTCTGAAGTGCAGCCCATTAACAATAATTAACTGTCAATCTGACCCAATTAACTGGATTAATTTGGAGAATTTGAGCGGGGCGAGGCTGCCCTGACTTGTTATTAATTAAAGCTTTTAAAAAGAGTATCAAAATCTGATACGTTTACTGACTACTGAGTAAGTGTAAGAATTATAAATCGGAGCTGACAAAAACTAGTGTTTCATAGTGTATCCCTTGTGGTTTCAGACATCCTGAACCGCAAAATGGAGCGGTGGTTATATTGGGGCTAATATGTGTCTAGCTGGTAAATCTGTATACCTTCCCCGTATCAGTGTACTGCAGGGTACATTATATTATTGGGGACATGTTAATCTTCTTAAGGGCACTGCCGCAGCTGCCATTTCAAGTGATTTAAGTGAAATAATGACGTTTGAATGAGGAATCTATAAATATAACCCATTCTGAATCGCGGGGTCGAACTCTTCACTTTTCTGGAGCCAGAGTTTAAATCAGAACTTGTCATTCGTCCAAAAACTAGGTTTTAATTTTCATACAATCCATGAAAGTTTGTGTAAACGTTCAAACCCTAATCAGCTCAATTTCCAAATACCTGTCAGACTTATCAGCTGTTGGTTGAGCATGATTTCATTTTGCTGAATGGGACCATTGAAAAGCAGTCTAACTTCTGGTGGGTTTCTGCGTTCCGTTCAAATCAGTTCCAAGCTGTCTAATCTCTAATAACAGTTAACCAATTTCCACTCTTTCTGACGCGCTTCGCCGATTTCGCCACCTTAAAAGTACATGATAAGTGAATTTGTTAAGTCTAAGTTTTGGGAGTACAATATAAAGTATTAAACTCAAATCTCATTTGGTGTCGGCACGTCTGTTGTCTAATACCACAGACGGAAAAACTGAAATCTTCAGATACTTTGACCAGAGGCCAATTCTTTGACACCCTAAAGAGATTCCAGTACTTTGTTTGAGCTCTTCTCTAAACCCCGGTACATGTTGAGCGACTAAAGAAATGAACAGTTTGACTCCTATTTCGCTGCGACATTCTCATTACAGTTCTAAAGTTCGTGTTACATGAAGAATGTTTTGTCTTTAGTCAGGGTCATTTATAAAGGACTCTGAATTGTAGTTAGAAGAAGCAATGCACTACACGCACACAACACACGGGGTATTTATATAATGCGCTAACTTTGAAGATACGGTTATATTTGTATCTTAGTTTAAAAGGTCAGATAAAAGGCGGTACTTTTATTAGAGGAGCTTGCCGGAAATTTCATGTGATCAATTTTGTATCTTGAAGAGGAAATTGAATTATCGGTATTAATCCGTTAAATTTTAGTGACAATTAGCATAATCTGATTAACTCATGTATCGTACTATTGTATACCACGTTGACACTTCACCGTATAATTATAGATCCGACAATTCTTTAACCTTCTAGAACATTGAACTCTCCCTTCAACCTTAATAAGCTGAGTTTTAGAGGATGACAACAAGCAAGTGGTTACTGGCTTGGATACTCGCCAAAATTAATTGAATCTTCATTAAATACTCAATTTCATAGAAATGATTAACTTTAAACTTAGTCGAATAGCGCTTATATCTATAACTTCATTGTGACTGTAAGTCTTGATTAGTCTTCAAATAAAAATTAGCTATTTTCAAGAATAAATATCAAGATTTATAGCCTCATTATCAGATGGTCAGTGGTCATCCCCATTAATAACAAATGGTTAATATTGTAATTCCTTTTGTTCGATACAATCAATGATGTACATTTTACAACCTCTAATTTAGCCCAAATAATTAGTTTTTGTGTAACAAGATAAATTGTTCCAAAGCATGAGAACGCATTATTTTATTGGCGACGCTGTAAGTGTCTCAGTGTCTGACGCTTGTTTCGTACACTCACTACTACTAGTAGGGGGGGGGGCCAAGTGGATATTTGTAGATATTTGGATAATGTCATCCACTTTTTTCGTGAATTATCCATAAATCCATTGACAATAATCTACAAATATCTACATTTATCTACAAAAAATGTATATCTCAAATATGTGCCCAGAAATTCTACTGAATTTTTGGAGATAAATTTATAAATTTGTAGAATTTGTAGAATTTTCGTGAATTATCCATTGACAATAATCTACAAATATCTACATTTATCTACAAAAAATGTAATCTCAAATATGTGCCCAGAAATTCTACTGAATTTTTGGAGATAAATGTATAAATTTGTAGAATGTCATCCACTTTTTTCGTGGATTATCCATTCTACATTAATCTACAAATATCTACAAATATCCACTTGGCCCCCCCCCCCTACTAGTAGCACTCAGTAAGAGAGATCAGGTCACTATCCGGGATGTTCTCAGTAAGGTTCGTTAATGAAATAGATCATGTAATGTGGGTGCAGTAGGTGTAATGTGGGTGCAGTAGGTGTAATGTGGGTACAGTAGTTGAATTAAAGTTAGCGATTGTCTCGCCTCAATTGGCGACAGATGTCTCGTAAGCTGACAGACCTGATTGCAGTTAGATTATCATACTTATTGCTTATTTGGATGAGTGAGTAGAGATGACGACAAGATACTTACTTAATACTTATTTATTAACGGGTAGAAAACCTAGAAATAAATAAAGTTGCAGCATTATCAATTGCTGATACTGTAATCTCAGGTGTTTAAAAATTTAAACTCCGTAATCTTCAGAATTACTCGAGGTTACACATTTAAAAAATAATTACACGGTTTAGCCGATCTATGGCTTCATAATCATACCATGCACATGTTCTGGTCATTAACTGCTCCACTAATTTCTGGACCGAAAGTCAATTTCATCATCCTAATTAACTTCCCGTGTTCCAGATGAGTGTTGTGTGTGACTGTTTTATCGATGACGTTTAATATGTTAAATGTAAGATTGAGATGACGTCACTCTGATGACGTGTAGGGTAGTTTCCAGGGCCGGGTGTGGGCACTCCTCACAGCTTGTTTTTTCTGCTACCTGCAAACTTCAACCCTGGACACCTTGTAAACAATTCCACTTCCGGGACCTCACATTGTACGGAACACAATGCACTTCTATTCTGGGCACCCCAACGGGTAAAGGGTTGAAAAGAGCACGTAACCAATCAGAAAGCAGGTCTAAAATCACGTGATCATATCCCTCCAATCAGCAATGTAGAGACCCATTCTTTTCGCTTACAATGACTGAACCGCTGTGTGTTTGAGGTCCAAAGACCAAACTTACTGAGAGTAGGAAATGGAGCGTGCGCTGAAGTGTGCTACACCCATTTTACACATTCCATTTACACAGACCCTTCATGTTACTGTTTAGCACACAATTTGGAGACTACTCCAAAACAACATACCTCAAATTTGGAGGTCACTCCAAAAATAAAACACATCTCAATTTGGTTTTAACACATTAGAACCCAATTCATATCAGTCCTAAACTGTTTGAGACCCACACGAGGTTCGTTTAACAGGAGGCTTGGTATGAATAACGATTAGGATCACATATTGTGTCACTTTAAAAAGTTGGCCCTCACGTTAAATATCTCAAATTTCTTACCACCCCGCCTTTGAAATCGTCATACTCACAATGATCCAGTCTGTTTACTCGACCAATTATTACGGCATGATCTGATATCATATCCAGATAATATGTAAGAAATGTTGAGCAGTAAGTTTGAGTGCTTATCAATTGCAGGTGCGAAAGTCTACAACAAGAGGTTAAATTCCGGGACAGTGCGATAAAATCACTCCAGGATGAACACGAGAGGTTTTCTCAGGTTAGTCTTTTCTCAGGGTCTGTTAAAACTTTTTTAAGTGTTGAGTGTTTAATTTAAGAAGAAGTGTTGGTGGTTCTATTTATAACATTAATCGAATTGATGTAATACTTTAATATGCTTAATCATAAAACTCGATGCTTGAAATTTCTGACTAATGTAAAGAACAAAAAGCGAATGTTTAAAAGGAAAAGAAAGATGCAATGTTCAGAATTTGATTGTAAACACTGCAGGAGTGTTTGTGTAACTCACAGTCCCTGGATCTCGACTCACTGCGCTCCCGGACCATGTCCAGATCGAGCAGTCTTCGGAGTAAGTCCTCTATGGGCAGTAAAGGCTCCGGTCTCTCTCGCTTACTAACCTTGCGCCGGCACCACGACTCCGACACAGACTCGTTTGGGAGCGAGGAAGCCGCTGCAGCTAACCCCAAGAAGAGGAAGCCTAGGATTCAGTTCGGGTTGTTTACTGAGGATTCCGAGAGGGAAAAACGGAAACTTCTCGATTCCTTATCAGAGGTTAGTTAGTATCCGGGTAGTTTTTAAGTTTATAACCACGTTATTAGTTGTTTATTGCTATATGATAGTGCCCCATGTCTCACTGCCCTGGGTATTTTGTGATGGTGTGAAATTTGAGAATAGACGAATAGTCTAGAAGGTACAAACTTTCTGCTGTAATCCGCCGGCCCAGCTGCTGCGTGTGTAAGAGCACACGAGGAATTCTCCGAAAATTGAATACAATTTGAGACGAACAGGTGCTGTTTCTTGAGTATAAGGAAGGTTCATCTTTGATAACTCAAGGCTGAGCAGTATCTCAGATTATATACCTGTGACCTGTCAACATTATATATGTGCGTCAAAATATACGAGATTTAGATTTATCTACAACCGCTCCCTAATGAAATTTGTACGGTTTCTCGGTAGAAACTAGATTAGAACTTGATAGAATTCTAGATTCGATAACGTTTAACTGTGCACTGCTTAAAATATGCAAAAATTCGGTATGAGTTTGAAAGTTTATTTGATGAGTTAAGAATAGATTGAACGTTCTTAGTCTTATATTAAGCCCGATGATTTAATTTTAAACTTTATGTAGATATTTTTTATAAAAATATTATCGTGTACGTACATTATATCACGTACTTTTCAGTTTTCATATCAATAAAGCTAAAGCACAAATTTCAAAATATCATGGTATCCTGCGCACTTCTAAAAATTGAATTACCCAATCGAATTAAATCGGTTCCGTGATTTTCCAAATTTTCATTCTTTCTCTCGAATAATTATGGTTTGTTTTTAGGGAGAGCCCTTCTCCACAAGGGTTGATTTGTCACATTGCCCATTACATACTTTAAATTGACACATTTCCCCTCCAAATATTTTGAAGGTTAGGTAAAACATGGATGTGCCAAACCGCAAAAATATTTTCCAGCCCTCCTCAAGAATAAATTTACTTTCAAGGTTAGGGCCACGCAAACGTTCTCGCCAACATATAGGCCACGCCAACGTTCACTTTAACGTTCACTTTAACGTTCACCTACTTCTTTCCTCAGGTACCGATGGTTAGATGGAAGAGTGAAGCAGTAGTAGCGTGGCTGGAGCTGGTGGTTCAGATGCCAATGTACAGCAAAGCCTGCAGCGAAAACGTCAAGAGCGGCAAGGTGAGAGATTTTTTGTGTAGAGAATTTTGAGTGTATTTCACATTCCGTAGATGCTTGCTGGTACATTTGAGAATGTTTTCAGACGTTAGACGGAGAGATCATCACCACCTTATACTGTAATGATTTATAGAGTCATAGATGTGTCCTTGCTAATAAGAGTAAACTTGGTTGAACGGCTGTTAAGTTAGTTAAGTTAGTTAAGTTAGTTAAGTTAGTTAAGTTAGTTAAGTTAGTTAAGTTAGTTAAGTTAGTTAAGTTAGTTAAGTTAGTTAAGTTAGTTAAGTTAGTTAAGTTAGTTAAGTTAGTTAAGTTAGTTAAGTTAGTTAAGTTAGTTAAGTTAGTTAAGTTAGTTAAGTTAGTTAAGTTAGTTAAGTTAGTTAAGTTAGTTAAGTTAGTTAAGTTAGTTAAGTTAGTTAAGTTAGTTAAGTTAGTTAAGTTAGTTAAGTTAGTTAAGTTAGTTAAGTTAGTTAAGTTAGTTAAGTTAGTTAAGTTAGTTTAGTTTAGTTTAGTTTAGTTTAGTTTAGTTTAGTTTAGTTTAGTTAATTTAGTTTAGTTTAGTTTAGTTAATTTAGTTTAGTTAGTTAATGTCATGTCAGTAGGCTCGTAGCTAGCAATTTTCATTGGGGTGAGGGCAGAATTAGAAGTCCAATCTACTAGGAAAGTCAATAAAACAAAGGGCTGACAAAAAACAAAAGGTTGCTGAATATGCAGTAAGATCAATAATTGATATATCATAAACTATGTATTCATACATAGTTTATGATATCAATTATTGATGTTTACAAACATTCAGATCATATGTCCAGTGTCCGTCTTATACATGATTATTGTCTTATGTACTATTATGTAAGCTTAGAATACCATGAGGACCAGAATTGGGTATTTAGAGTTCAATATCTAAGCAACTGGATACATGTTCTGGTATCATTAGAGATAACTTAGCTACCTGTAATTCTGGGTCCCACACAGGGGGCCCAGTTGTCTGTCAGCCTGTTTCCCCAAATTAAGATTCCTTTATTAGCCCGTGAGCCCCCATTCATCTCTCTACCTTCTCCCCTGTATGTGATTAAGATCATAGAATTTTAAATATTATTAAATTTATCAGTATCAGTATGTGGATGTTTTACATTTAAAAGTAATAAAATCCTTTCTAATATTAAGTAACAAATTTATTAATCTAACACTACAGTGCTAAAGTCTTAAGGTTCGGTTCAACCACAAATCAATAAATTACCTCAGAGTCTACCTCATTCACACTGCTGTGTGATCATCACACTTCTACATGATTGAAACATGCGGCGTGTGTCTGATACTTGTTATGTGGTTCACTATATTGTCACGTGACTGTTCACTATAAGTGTCACGTGTTGGTTCACTATAAGTGTCACGTGTTGGTTCATGTTATCGCACGATGAGGTAGACTCCACTTATCAAAGATACAAGGCCAAAGACAGGAGGTGACCGGGATTCCCGGTTCCGGGAATCCCGGTAGCGGGATTGGCAATTTTGAGCTATCCCGGTCCCGGTCCCGGTCAAATGCTGATTTATGAAGTTATGATCCCGGTCCCGGTCCCGGTTAATTCAGGATTCTTGGTCCCGGTCAATCACTCAAATTTGCCGGGATTTTGACCGGGATCTTTTACATAATTTCATTCACTGTGATTTTAAGTTTTTCTTTTCATTCATTGTGAATTTCATCTTTAAACATCCTCTGAGCCAAATAAAACAATGTTAAAAATTGCTAAACAAGTTTATTGAGTAATAAATTATGATCATGAATTAACCAGTAATCGACCGGAATTTCCGGTACCGGGAATCCCGGTACCGGGATTGGCAATTTTGAGCCATCCCGGTCCCGGTCAAGTCACATTTTGTATCCCGGTCCCGGTCCCGGTCCCGGTCCCGGTCAGGCCTGAAATCATGTCCCGGTCACCTCCTGGCCAAAGACATACTGTGTCATTAAAAGGGTGCTCTTTGTATATACGTATCCTGTTTTACTGTACATTATAAAATGACCTTTGACGACTACAATATAATTGAGGTATTCTTTGAGGGATGAGTGTTTGTCAGAGCATGGCCACGTGATGTCCATATAAGGAGAGCATGGCCACAACACTGTCCTTGAGCTTCAATACCTCATAGAGTCTGTTCGGAAGAGTCTTTTACTAAAGAATCAGTAGATTTATTATCGAAAAGAATTGGCACTAAGATTACTCAAATCTCGATGGTTACCTAGTGATTTGATTAATCAGTTACGGACCAAAAATTGTCCTCCTAAATTTGTTTACCGCGGTCTACTTTGGCAGGTGTGGTACCTAAATTGACATCTGTGCAAAAACAATTGGTGTCCAATTTCCATGATCACAAATCCATGTACTGGTTTCATTCTGGAGTACATACCTACCGTCTTATTATTCATTATATCAAGTTATTTAATATATCTCGCGTTGTTGAAATGTTTGTTAAAGTTGTTGAACATGTAAAAATCTAATCACATTCTCACTGCCCGGAGTTTAATATTCTAATAAACCTCCTCCGCATAACAATAAACATTAAACATACCTCGGAGGATTGTATGAGAGTCTTTCTCATCTTACTTAATACATATCAAATAATAAATCAATGCTACCTGTTCAATTTTCAACCCTCTGATTTAGCCATCAGCTGTACACGATTCTTTAAATAGTAACGGTAAATTTCTTAATTTTGAGAACGGAATCATTAAAATTCGACTCCTGAGTTCTGGGTTTCAATTTAGTAGTAAGAGAACCACGTGCCAATGCTCTTGATGATCCGCTCTGTGGCACATACCTTTAATATTAAGGTTCCAGACAGGTTCCAGACCTCTATCGTTAGGATACAACCAATCTGTTGTATTTCATTACCGTCAGTAAATGTGAAGATGTCATGTGTCCCGGTGTGACAATAAAAATGTGATAAAATAAGCATCTTGTAGCCACGACAAATACCACGTGGTGGCTCTATAAATAACTTGACTGAGACGTGCGGCAGCTAATGGTGATGAATAATCCGCCGCGGTGCGTGCTTAACAGCACTTGACTTTTGGGCACCACAGCTGCAGCGACCAGATACCGCACTATTTGAGAAATGTTTTGACATTAAGACCGACAACAACACCACGACCCACCCCACATAAAATAGCGCAAACGTTGTTGACGTGTCAACAAACAAAGGATCACGAACGTTCCGTCAACATGGCAACCAAAACTAAACCACTTACTTTGATATTGACTTGTTCTTCTTCAATAATTTTGATGGCGTTAATTTGGCCACTCATCATTGCTACTGAGCTGCTTACTATATACGGCATAGCTTCTTGAAAGTTGGTTTAAAGTTGAGCGTACTTTACCCTCCCCTTGGATCATTAACAAACTTGTTGAATTGGGGAACGTGAGGACATTATTTTGGCGCAGAAAGAAATATGTAGCGTCTTGGTTAGTGGCCCAGGCCCCCCCCCCTCCCCCAATGATCAACTAGTCGGCACGATGAGTCAAGGGCTAAAGTTAACCTTCAGAGGTTTGCGAAAGGTTTACAATATTCTAAAGGTTTAAACACATTCTTTGACACTTTGACTTTCACTTAACTCTAATTAACCGACTTTAACTTAACTCTTCGACTTTCACTAGAATCTAAGTCACCGAGAAATCTTCGGATATCTGAAGTTCAGGGCAGAATTAGAGGTAACGCGAGCATGATCATCTCCTTATCTTCACAACCATGCAATGATTGAAAATTAATCCATCAATGTCTGACTATGATGATTTGAGTATTTCAAGTGAACTAACGTCTACGATTATTGCCAACCTTCCCCAGTCGCGTCCCTCTGAAACACGTAACTCACAATGTTTCTGAGTATGCTGAAAGCAGACCCTCATGATTCGTCGAATTTTCACATCATTACATATGCCTGATAAGAAATTAGCTTCACAAAACCCCTGATAACACGTCTTCTGAAGTCTGTGTTTCAAATTACTCACTGAGAAGTATTATATATATCCCTTTAAATGTACTAGATTATGAGAACAGGACTCTACATCAGAAATACCTCAAATGTGGCGCTCTGGTGGCTAGCCGTTTTCTGTGCCATGTCTTACATGGACCATAACTCAGGAGCCAGGAGCCACTAGATGTGGGCCAGTTCACCCCTTAATTCCCACCTCGTCTGGCAACTTCTAATAAAGTTCTAATCTCTCAATTTCAGGTTCTACTCTCACTGTCAGATAACGATATACAGACAGGGTTCAGCATGATCAACCCGCTGCACAAGCGGAAACTGCGCCTCGCGCTGGAGGACGTGCGCCAGACGGACTCAGTGACCTACCCCTGCCTTGCTAAGCTCGACCACTGGTGGGTCGTTAACGAGTGGTTACCAAGCATTGGACTCAACCAGTACAAGGTTTGTTGACTCTGTAGAGTACTGTAATTAACCTGAACCGGCACTTTCTCTTAATAGTTTTTACAGTCAGGTATTTTGAATAATAATTTAAAATTTTGTCAAGTCTGTTGAAGTATATTGAAGCGACAAGTCTGTAATCATAGACTCGCCGTCCGCCTCTTGACGGCTAACCTAGTTTTACAAATATTCAATCAACCTTTTAAAAACTTGATTAATCAACCTTTTAAAAACTACATTAAAAACTTGTTACAAAAGAAAATGTTGCCGACTTAAGCACTTTTAGTTGTTTGGAAAGTACGTGTGACGGGACTAACACAGTTTGTGCCACCCCTGCTGCTGAGGGCAGTAGGGCGACACACATCTGCAGCACCACGTGACCCTCGCAGTATCACAAACTATCTCTTTCACATGTAGACCTAGCTATCTTGTCGCAGGATCGTGTCAAATTAGCAGCTGTCCTCATCTCCTGGCCATGTTTATCCCTTATTGAAGATCCGTGTAGAAATGAGGGTCTCCTCTCTTAAGTAATTAGCTAATTGGTAGCTGACACTTGTCAGACACTTATCAAATTACACCACGAACATGGATATTACCAGATGGTGGTTCTGCTTAGTGCTCACCTGCACTTATCATGTACTTATCTAAACACGATATTATTTTAGCCACAATATTATTTTGAATAATACTGAGATATAATAATAAGACCCGCAGTGATAACAATTCCCATTGTTCTGGCAGAAAAGTCCCTAAATAGAATCAAATTCCGTGGTCTGCACTGCTGGAATTTCGCAAGCTGGTTTCTCGGTCACGTTAGCATCTCAATCAGGGAGCTTAGCAGCACTCTCTCCAACGGATCATCACAACCATCATTAGGTTATCTATCTAGCTCAGCACTCTCTCACTCTGTAAAACAAACACTTGTTCAGATCGAGCCCACGTGACCTTATACAGACCACGTGACATTGTAACAAGCACACAAATCCCCGGAGAGCTGGTTTAGATTAATGAAACAAGGTATCCGCTCCGCTGGTTACGTTGACAGATAGGGTCGAATTTAACAGCTCTCAAAGCCTGCCTACGCCAGTTGGCTTGTACCAGGCGGTGACCTGGTCCCGAGCTAGACGGTGGCATGGACAGCGAGGCTCCATCTCCCGTTTGAGCACAAGTTCCCCGAGTGGTGCACTGACGGTTCTCCTTATATGGGCATCACGTGACACGTGTTTCACAGTTCTCTGTGTCACAGAGCTCACTCAGGGAGCAGATGTCACGGTATTGTCACATACTTCTCAAGGAGGATTCACTTATTTCACACTTTAATTAGCTGCAGACACGGGGGAAAAGAGGGAGCTTTGACACAGTATGAGCTCAATAATATTTGTTTAAATATTATAAACCGTCTTTGTGTTATTCTTCCGGTTAAGGTGACCTGCCCAAATCAATCAAGTTGTTCGTCGGAATCCTAAGTTTACAGAACAGCTAGTACCGGGTGATTAGTGCTGCTTTGGCTACTCTCTCCCAATTACCATAGTTAATAAGCATTAAATACACCACACCTAACCCTGCACCACACCTAGCCCTGCAGGAGAGTTCCCTGTAATTGATCACGCCCTATTGTCATATGATCTGAATATGAAAGGAGCAGTACACTGAACTAGTAGTAGTAGCAGAACACAGTTAACTGAGTACTGAGCACACTGTCCAGTTATACCACTAGTTAGACTTTATACAGCCTATATAAAGACACAGGTGTCAGACCTGGAGGGTTGTCTAACTTCAGAACTAGCTCCATGTCGTGCATATCATTAACCTGATCATCCAGGACCTTCAAATTCCAATCAAATACTTTTGAATCGTTCAACCGGTTATGGGTGGGTGGGTTTGACAAAGGTTCGTGTCATGTGCCGAGTAGGACAGGGAAGAATAGCCAATTCTCTGATTGAATGACACCACCTTATTATATCCGGCCATAATACAGATCTGCAATCAGTACTTTCTACTGGCATGGCGGTCCTGTTTAGGATTTATAACATTATGCTTGCTTGCTTAATCATAACCCATGACTGATCGGCCGGTATTATATCTTGCGGCAATATGGAGAAGCTGTGATCCTCACAAGCTAGGGTGACTGATGAATGAGCTTCAAACAAGGCCTGAGACTTGAGGATGATTTGCCTTTGCTGACAAATCAAGATCACCTGCTACAGAACGGCCATTGTTTAATAATACAATAGTGTATATTGCGGTGATATCCAATCTTTTGTTATATAACTTTAATCTAATCTTAGGAGGGCTGGGCAATAAATAATTCTTCGTTAATAAATAAATTAAGGTAATAATCAGTCAACGGCGCGATGGTGGTCTCTCACATGAGAACGGTTCTAAATAAAACTGTAACAAAGTAACAAACTGCAGATAAATTAGGAAAGGATAACCCAAAACCATCTGCTCGCATACATCTCACTATCTCAATCTCAGTCTTTATTCTAAAAAACTAACTTCTTAAACTCCACCAGGGTACCTTCAGAGAGAACTTAGTGGACGGTAGAGTACTCAACTCCCTAACCAGGAAGGACATAGAACGTCACCTCAACATAGTTGACAGATCCCACCAGACATCCATATCATTGGGGATCGAGCTGCTGGCTAAATATTCGTACGATCTGGAGAAGTTGACTGTTAAGAGGGCTGGGTGTCAGAATATTGATAGAGATGTTGAGGTGAGTTCTGAGGAAAATATTGAAAAATTTTATGAGGAGAATATTCAGTTGTGATCCCGGGAGATTGCTTTTAGTGATTTAGATATTAGAATTTGTTGTTTCACAGTTGCGCTCAAAAACTGATGCTGCCGTAAACATAGCCTGATATTTAAAAAACTGCGAGCTTGATATTTAAAATGTTGGCTATTTTAGATGATATACTTGACACAAGATACTTGTCAAACACAATCAATGCCGCTATCTCTCACAACTTTTACTGGGACTGTCAATTGCTGCACATGATGTTGACTACATGTTAATAAACACCTGTCTGTAGCGTGTACGTGTCCACCAATCAATCTTAATTTATTGCTCTGCTACAAAGTATGACAAAACCCATATTATCGTATTAGCACATTTAGTAAACTAGAAGCTCCTTGCCGAACCATATTTTTATGATCACCCCTGTTGAGGATCCTATCTTACTCTTGAATCTTGATCTTACAAGATTTTGTTGCCCTGGGGTGGCAAGTCCCCATTCAAAGCTGCCCGCTAGTTTCACTAGCTCTCAATATATAAGGTGGATGTGGAAGTGCAAATGAGCTCTCTTATCACGTATGATATCCTCTCTTACGTATACGCAGACTATCACAAAACAACGTGTGTCATGTAGTAGTAGTCTCCGTTAGTATCTCGATAATATTCCACTGGGAATTGAGTTGTGATGTCACACTCATTACTGTAATATAGCGTATCTTAGAATGGAGTACTGGGTCACTCCAGTGTAGTTTTAAGATATTAAAACCAGTAATAATCACGCTGGGTCATGCCACCCAGCTGATCCTTTATAATCTGAATCGTGTAGTGGTTCATTTGCAGTTCTGTCATCCTATAACCATAATATACTCCCCAAATTTGTTTGAATTAGCAGATCACTTGGCTTCTCCACAGTGGTTTTACATATGAAATTTGGTTCCAACAATAGTGTACTTGACAACCGTACTCTTGTACGCAGTACAGCACTCTCGTCTGTAGTAAAAGTAGGACTTTATGCTCATATTGTCTGTGGTAAAAGGTTTTATAATTTACAAGAAGTCGGAGTCCTACTGTATTCCTACTGTAGGACTTCATTCTTATATTCTTCAGAAAAGTAATCTCCAACTTCCCCTCAAGTTGAATGAGCAGTGCAACTAACAGCCTGCTAATTTCAGGTCTGGACCACCGGACGCTGTGCTGAGTGGCTGATCTCCATAGACCTCAAAGAACACGCCAACAAGTTGTCGTACAGCGGTATCCACGGTGCTGTTATCACACAGGATAAAGAGTTTAATGTGGACGTGCTGGCAAGCGCCCTGCTTATTCCTGTTCAGAGGAAGGTTCTGAGGAGACACATGGAACAGGAGATAGCAGGTCAGTGCCTGACTTTCTGTTTCACTATCAGACACGTGACTTTCAGTTTCACTACACTTTTAGTCACGTGACTTTCATCTTTAGTCATGTATTGACATTGTTTCACCATGAAACTTTGCTCAGAGCCGACTTTAATTTTATCTGTTTAGCTATTTGTTGACAACATTTTTGACATTTGTAATTTAAACATGAGTGGTAATTAGTGGATCGCCGCCAGTCGCCATTAATTTAAAATGAAACTGATGCCCAGTAGCCCTACTTGAGAACTACAGAGCACATGTTACCCTACATTCACTAGACACTTCGTTTATAATATTAGCTGCACTGACGTATTACCATGTCAATTTACAATAATACAATTACAAACTGTAACTTGGTACATCCTGCAATAGTAACTACACTAAATGTGTGGATAGATAGGATGGGTGGTATATCAAACAGCTCTACTCATTTTACTGGCATTATTTTAATTATAACTTAATTATAGTAACAAACCTTTACTTATCTAAGCGTATGTTTCAGTACTAAAAAGCGGAGGAAGCAGACGACAGACAACTCAGACCAAACCTAAATCAGGCAAGTTTAAAGACAGTCTGTCCAGAGCCTTCACTCCCAACCGATCAGAAACGCCGGACCACAGTTTGAAGGCGTTCAAAGCGGCGGAACCTGGTTCTCACTGCAAACCTGATCCGGATACTCTATCTATTAAGTTTGATCCAGAAATATACGCTTGAAATATATTTTACGTGGTGTTTATTGAACTAATGCAAACTGAATGACTGTTACTAGAAGATACAACCGGCCGTTACTCCATTACTGTGTGCGCTAATGGTTTGTTATGTTAACCTGGCCCACAACCATTACCTGCCACACATTTGTAGCAAACAATGTAAGATTGTGAGATACAGAACTGAAATGATAGGCAGCGGAACTAGAATGTAAATAACAGCCAAGAAGGCTGCGAGATATAATATCAAATGATATTTTGTTAGCACTGTTTTCGTTATTACATGAGTTTGTGATGTTATATTATTAAACTTATTGTGTTTGCTACTACTCAACATTTTGTATCGATTAAGGGGAATAGGGCTGAGAAACAAGGAGAAATTGTGAAAATCATAAAGATTTTCATCATACATTTTTATCTTACCTCATGAAATAGGAATCATTCTTGTCATTTTGAAGCCGTCTTAAAGTATGAAAATGGGTTCGATTTTGTACTCATTGGTTTAGTTTTAAGTGTTAAAAGAAATTTGTATGATATCCGACGAATTTATTAATTTAAGTGGAATAGAAATAAAATCCGACTGTCTTACATTGTAGTGAATGGTAGTTTTATTATTTGACATGTAATTACAATTTTATTTCGTTTAAATGATTGGTATATTTTCGTGGCTCAATTATCATATCTATTGCAGTTCAACAAATTTGAAATGTTATACAGCTTTAAACATAAAGCTGCTTTATGTATTCAACTAATTTGAACATGAATACATATCATACTCATAGTTGGTACATGTTATAGTTGGTTCTCACTCTTAATATCCCTCTTGATAGACATTGAAATGAGCCGTAAGCGTCATAGTCTTAATACTATTGAGCTTCACGGGTCGTCAAAGTCAAGTCTTGTTCTTAAAATGTTTTCTGATTAACTTTCAGTGAATTTTATCCTCTACCAATTTCATGGGACGAGGAATGTTATTCAAACTTTCCGCGCTGAGCGCAGTGTCCTTAACTTGAACAAAGTTGCGCTGCGTATTGACAGCACTGTAAACGAGCCGCGCACGTCACGCGCGTTCAGCTGTTTTATGGGCCGGCCTGATATGATATGATATCTTGTAGCGCAATGCGTTACTGTGCCACGCCGCGCACTCAATAAGGATTCTCACAGCGCTACTGTGCTGCGCCGAGCTGCGATGAATTGACATCGTCAATATCCGATACTATACGTGTAAGGCGAGCACTATATTTCATTGTATATATATATCCACATTGATTGACGGTGTCAACCCATCGATTACTGGGCCGCGCTCAGCCTGTCATTCCGCCGAATCTCTATGTTTATGAACATAATAGCCTGAGCACTGATGTCCCCAGGTAACCCATCGAGATCGTTGCTTTGCGAAGCAAAGCAACGATCGACGATGCGAAGCAAAAATTATTATAGTTTGCGCGGCGCGTCGAAGCGGCGAAGTCCTCCAAATATCCACAGAAAGCACATCCAATTTGATAGGCATAACGGCCCATCTACTAAGGCCGACGTCCAGCACATGCCGGTTGTTTTAATTTTGTAATTGGCACATCGGTAAAATTTGCATAAAAACAGTAAAGCTTTGTTAGGCGGTGCTCAGCCTGTCATTCCGTTGTAGGTTTACAACCTACCAGGATGCGCGCCGAGTTGGACTCGTCCAATATATGGAACAGATGTTTTACGAGTATCACCCGTTAAGTCATTCCGCCGAATCTACGTCATACGTATTTTTATAAATATACTTCTATGAACATGATAGCCTGGGGTTCCTAGGTAAGTATAAAAGCTAAATTATTACGTGATACAAGGATTTCCCCGGTACGGTAAAAATCCAAAAAGGTTTTTAAAATGTGCTCTTTTTTGCTTAAATTTAAAATAATTTTCTACAGTGGTATTAAATTAACTCAAAAATAGTCCTATGGTCTTTGCCTACATTTTTCCTTTCCGAGAAGTACCCACTTCATATACTTTATCAAAGTTTGATATTGTCACTCCACAAGCGTTTTACCAAATTTTCGGCGCGCACAACGCGCAAAAGCATTTAGCTGTTATCAATGGGCACCCGCGCGTTCATCAAAAAGTTCAAACAGCCATAACTCAGCGAGATTACGTCTGTTTTAGCTCATATTTTTACACCAAATAGAAAACGATGTGATCTTATATTGCCGACAAAATATAAATACTCTATCAGCCTTTAGAGTTATAGACTGTCAAAGTTTAGAACGCGCATTGGTATACAATAGCACGTGACAGTAAGGTCCTATTTATATTTTTGAACATATTTTTGATCCTTACACATCATCAATCATACTATTGTGTCCAATTAATGGCTAGGTCTCCAGACTCATAGTGCAGAAAACACGTTTTGTTTGCCCGTAAGAGCCTCTATGGTGGACAGGCCCGCCAGTTTTATCAAAGCTTAAAGGTACGCTAGCGCGCTGCGCGTTTAAATGTATGCGATTTCATTTAGTAGAATACGTTCGCGCCTTACGCGGTAAACGTATGAAGACCCTTCCTTTATGACACGTGCTTTTCCAAATCGGGAAACGTTGCCATAACACGACTCAGCAAAAAGCGAAATGATCTCTAAAAATAATTAGATACATTAAATTTAAATTAACAGTATACAAATTAAATAATTAGGTTTCGATATGTCTGGGTTGGACCAAAAATTAAACCTCTTCATATCTAGACAGTTTCAAATTCTGTATTTTAAATGTACTAGAGACATTTGGTATATACAATTATATGTAAATCCCAAACAGAGTAAGAGTCTAGTCGTAGCTTGTATAGAAGCTTTTATGCAAAAGCTGTTACTGGTAAATATAAACATGACCATCATGATGATGACTTGTTAAATCTTCACTGGCTTGATGTAAAGATAAGAATTGTTTTCAAAATCTTACTGCTATCTCACAAGGTATCGCTAGGATTGGCACCAACTTATCTGCAGGACATGTTTAGGTACTCACATCATGGTTACACATTGAAACTAATTGTACCATCTTTTAACTCTAAGTTTGGTGATCGTAACTTCTCTGTGGTGGCTCCAAAGATCTACAATCGTCTGCCTGATACCATTTCATCGGCGCAATCACTGGAATCATTTAAAGCTCTATTCTGTTTAAACTGTCCCTACATGAACTTGAAAAACTTTATCGATAATTTATTTTGGTCAATATTGGTGTTCGTTTTTTTTTTCTTCATATCATGGAGTATCAGTATTTTCTGTCATTAGATTTAGCGATATATTTTCAAGCATACGTAACCTGTCCTTATCTTATTCAAGTACTTTTCTGGAATGTTTCTAAACATCCCAGAAAAGAAAATATCCCTAAAGATTAAACACTGCTGAGTATAAGTTTTATCTTAAAAGCGGTGTTATTAAACTTAAATTTATTATTATTATTATGTTGTTTGCCTAGCAGATGTTTTACAAATATGAGTTGTCTTACATAATAAATGGTAGGCAGAATACTATGTCAAAGGTCTCACCAAGCAACACTCATTTGCAGTTCAGGGACCTAAATTGTGGAATGCAATCCCCTACCATCTGAATGTCATTCAAGATCTAGAGCACTTCAAAGATAAGCTCACAAAGTTCATGTTGTCTCTCCCTGATAAGCCGCCGATCAGGGGATATACTCCTCCAAATACGAACTCTCTGCTGTGCTGGCGCAACGAGCGAGACTCTACTTCGCTATGGGGTGGTCAGAAGATGTGATGGCCCCGTCAAGTCTTGACGAAACTCAACATAGGTCACATAGGTAGGTCAAGCGAACTATTTACATATAAGTTACAACGTAATCACTTAGTTAAACCGATAAACATCGCTTAGTTATTAATGAGTTTGTTGCATCTGTTCGATTAAATGATTAGGAATAAACATTTGAACTGCAATAATTTTCCGGCATGCAAGTTCACATACATCCTCAAATATAGGTATTGATTCATTTTTAAAGCCGTAGAAAAAAATAAGGGCTTAAGAGTAACGAAAAATACGAATACGTTGTTGCTGAGTATAAAACGGCCATCATGATAAGTTGAACAGATATATCAAACTTTTTGATCACTTTCCACGGTGCGATATTATACCTTAATTCCCAAAACTTTTAGCGACAAATAATTTGAGCGGCCCTCTCCCCCAATTTTTTGCCCTTAAAGTAATGGCAAATAAATTAAACTAAAGGTAAATTATATTAATGGCAAACACACAAGTCTAAATCTCTTGCCCAAATTTATTGAGCACAAGTTTTTGTGCAAAATTTGTTGGGAACTAAGGTAGGAGCTGCTATTGCAGTCATTTACAAACTCATAAACCCTTCGCTGATTACGTCATCAACTATACCTCTCGGTAAATCTCTTACAAAAACGTAAAGAAATAAACATTGTTGCCCTCCTAAGCACAACATGAGAACAAAATCCAAATAATGTGAAATTTAGTAGAGTATGAAAATATACTATTTAACAGCAGGGTTTAAACACAGGAAGAAAACCAGCATATTCGTAAAGAACTCAAAATGTGAACCAATTCTTGGGATGACCACCATCATTACAATTTTATAGAGTCGTTCCAGGAATAACGAAACACCAGAAAAAAGTTGCATAAATGCTCAACTCTGACCTACTCTGTCGTGCGCTTTTCTTGCGATATGTGATATATTAGTTAAATAAATTATCGAGTTCCTGGACTTAACCTCCCTCTTGTAACATTCCTTGCACAACCGTTTCGACATGAATGTGAACCATTCACTTGAAAAGTCAATGCTACACTTAGCACACTCGACTAAAGAAGCCTGAGGGGAGTCCACACTTTTCAACATGTGCCTCATAACAGTTTCAAAACCAAGCGCTTGTTGATATACCTCAGCCTCATGCCGCGCGTCCTCGACACTCGGCACAAACAACCAGGGTTCTGACATCACATAGTTGGGTCGCGGCAATGCATTCAGCAACAAAGTGTTGGCTGGGGTTAACGGTGCAGGCGCTGGTGTTGGGTCCTTGAAATTTGGGATAGTACGAGAAACTTCCCACTTTACATTCTTGGGCCGATGATAGTACAAACAGTAGTCGTGTTCTTTGGAAATGTAATTGTAAAGACCATTGTAATGAGACTTGTGGAGCAACATAGTAGGGGGCGGTTCCCGCAGATCTAGCGTCCTGCACGGCCCACTGTTACGATTAGTACCGAAGGTATACGGTGTGTTGGTTCCTTGCTGAGCCCGGTACTGGGAATGTGAAGGGTAGAGGGATCGCTTCTTGTGAACTTGTTCGTAGGCTTGCTGCAGTGATTCTATAGTGGCTGATTCTGTTGTTGTGGGCCGCTCTTCTATCACCTAGAAAACAAGAAGAGGTTAAAACTAGGGTTTAAAATACAAAAATAGACTGCACTGTTTTAAAGATCTATCAAGAGACTAGATGTTTGATGTTTCAGAAAAAGGTAAGTAAGCAGCACTAAAAATTGTTTAAAATTTCTCAATAATCATAGTGTGTGAATCTCTATAACATTAACTTCTGCATCCGACATTGAAGTTCTCCTAAAAAATCCCATACACCCAGCGGTTTTAATAATGATTCTAAAATGAACACGCGGTTTAACCCGTTATTTACCATGAATAAGTACGGTAAAATCTCGAAAAATCGTTCAGAGCACAACTCGATTAACATGGACTGATCCTCAAAACAAAGTATCTAATTTATTTCCCTTGCCAAACTCGTTTTCTGGGGCTCTTAAACGATAAAATTTGTACAATTTCCGTAACGACTCAAAATAAGAACATAAGAAGCAGGGAAATGGGAAAACTCTCAAGCGCCGTAGGGAAAAACGTATTATATGAGATTGTATAAATAACGACTCTCTAGAGTCAAGTTACGCAATTTCGATGAATTATAACAGCTTAAACTCTTAAAGAATTTGGCAAGCACTTATCAGAAAAACTGTACCCAAAGTGCAACAGGAAAGAACTTTCTAATAGCATAGCACATATTCTGCAACACAACATAAATATATTGAGCAGAATCTAAACATTATTAGGGAAGATAAATGGAAAGGTGAACATAAAATGTCGTCCTGACATCCTAGGGCTTCTAAGCCAATTTCGGTATGCGGAACACTCATTAGGGTAAATCCAGACTACTTGGTACATAAATGATTTAAGAATAGCATAGCGATAACTTGCCGTCTCATTTACTTAGTGGGTATTACTTTCTTACTTTGTGTCATTGAAACCCTTACATCTCAGACACCGATTAGACCGTTTACACATGCACACTTAACACGGGGGTATGTTATTGTGCTTCCTATTTAGGCACATTTGCTCAAGAAGCAGTACTGGCAGTGTAATGCGGGGTATGGAAGAAAGAAACTGAGATCAAAATATGATTACATTTTGCTAGTGAGATATTATAGCGTAAGCGGTGATACATTCCAAACTGATATGATACTTAAAGTAAAGGTAATAAATGAAACCTCGATATCTTCTTTCTCTTCGTCCTGCTCCTCCGCTTCTTCTTCAGAATCGGAGGCATCAGCCACAGATCCCTCTTCACTTTCAGAGATTATCGTAGCTTCCACCTGACTGAGGATAATTTGCGTTAGTGACATTTCAATTTAATCAGACATAATTTGTTTGAAAGTCGTAAGTCGCAGACAGCACTGCAGCGGAAATGACTTGCAAAACTAAGACACAGAAATATGGTATATAATCACGAAAGAAATGTATGCAAAAGCTAGACATAAATACATAAATTAGATCACGTGACATAAATTAGATCACGTGGAAATACAATTCAGACCTGTGTGACGGAAGCTGAAGGGTTCGCAGTCCGTCTGCAGTTGTTTCCTCGGAAGGACGTATTAAGGCCATGTTTCTCTGTTCTAACACCCTCTTCTTATGTTTGGTCACCTTCAGCTCAGCTAAAGTGGGTGTTTTCTTCATCTTCGCCTTGACGGCTCCGGAGTCCTTGTACTTCTTCTGTATCATGTAGTCCTGCAAAACAGAATGAAACCGTCATAATGAGCTATAGCTTTTACTGGGATTCCCTTCACATCGCGGAAGACGTAGAAAATATTAAGAATTTGAAAGACGCATATCATGTTACAAGATGTACAGCACACATCAACACTTTACACGTAATATGTGAAGGTCCATGATATAATATGATTTGTGACGTCTCAACAAACCTGGACAAATTCTTTGAGTTTTATTTCAGTTTTCTCGTCAGACGATCTACCATCGTCTGAGTCAGGTGAAGGGTAGAGATAGCTGTATCTCTCAACCAACTGTGCGGCAACCTCCTCACCCAACCGCTCTCTCTTTATCAGTAGCACCGGCTTACAAACTTTACTGCGAGCATTTGCCTCTGCGTAGATACTGATGCCATTGGTATGTGGCGAAATGCTGAGTGGAGAAGAGAGACCTGCTTGGTCAGCATTCTCTGGGAAAATGAAAGATTCTGATAGAATGTTACTTGCAATTGATATTGGAGATTGAGGAATGGGTGATCCAGGGTCTAAGGATATCACCTCAGGGTCTTTCTTGTCATCTGGATTTATCAACATCTTGGAGAACGGGGACAATCTGTCCAGATTTTCTGAGTTTTCAAGTTTTTTTAGGGTATTACAAGATTTGTCAACGATCTTAAGAGTTGCAGATTTGAGAGGAGGAGATATTTCGATGATGTCTGGCTCTGCTGGAGCTGATCTCTTCCTTTTGTAGGGCTTGTTAACATATTGAACAGTAGCGTGCTCAATGCTACCATTCATACCTACATGGGAGAGTGATCTATTAATTTGATTGGTTTGACAACTGTATACTATATAGTGTATATAAAGCGTATAACACTGCTAGCCCACGAAACTAGGACGGAACAGGAGGCAAATACTCTGAATGTGGAAACTACTTTTTGATTGAAATTGATGATAGAAAAAAAAGACTCGAACGAAAACTTTCAGTATCTTTATTAACAATTATTAGAAATTCTCGTGTTATTGGTCAGTCATTTTAATGATCGTTGGTTAGACCTGAAATTGAGAATCTGAAAAAAAAACAACACACTGGTCATGCGGGGTCATGCTACATTATAAAAGAATAGAACAGATAAAAGGTGGAATTATCAAGTTGAACATTAACATTGCTAAAAATCTTAAAATCTTAAAATAACAATTTTGTGTCATAAAATGCAGGTATCTATCCTTTGGTCAATACTTTTATAGATACTTTGACGGTGACTTGTGCAATGTGCTTCTTTTAGGAAGGTTAAACATGGCGAAGACAAAGAATAAATACCTGTACAGACATGAATCAGAGAAGATCTATTAGCTGTTATTGTTTATACCAAAGCAAAAATACAAATTTAAAATAATTAAATTCAAGTGGAAGAATTAAAGCATGCATATTTGAAAAAGCTAAAAATGGCGAAAATGAGATTCTTAAATCACACAAACAACTGTCATTAAGATAAATTGGAAATATGTTTCTTGATTATAAACAGAAAGTCAAACAATTTACGAATAAAAAATAGGAACAATAAAATCACGATGAAAAAGATCACTCTCAAATTTTAATGCTCGAACATCAGTTATGTTAGAAACAAGGAAAAGACCTTTGCTGCTGGAACAATCTCAAACAAAGTCCCCAAGCTTTCACGTTCATAAGAGGAGATTAACAATATATGATGGTGTGAGATAATAATCATTTATTCCTAGTATCATAATATATCATTAGTTAAATCGTTGTTTGTGATATAACGCATCACATTTAGCATTGCAGATGAAGACAGAGTTGTACTCAGATAAAGACATTACAACTAATATTTTCTGGTGGTTAGGGAAATCTCTGACAAAAGTTGAATGATGATTCGGTTTCAATCGATCTAATGCAAATCTTTCAATCTGAAGTTGCATCAAATTGAATGCATCCTGCCCTTATTACACGTCCTCCAGTTTGCCACTTAGCAATAGCATCAGTCCCGTCTGTGTGGAACTGAAGATGAACATCATCTTTAGTTGCTCCATAAAACACAAGCTTCTCTTTCTTCACTTCGCTTTGTATGGTCTCATGGGGACATCTCAGAAAATCATCAGATAGAGTAGTAGGAGGAACGGTACTGTACCAACCCCAGTCAAGCTGTTCTCTTCCACTTGGTTGATTAAACCAGACTTGATAATGTGAACTTGGATTACAAGCACCTCTGCAAGAAATTGTAAACCGCATGACAAATCCATTACCATAGCCACCATATACACAGTATCTGAAATGTAATGATTTGGGCGTTTCCAAGCAGTAAGTAACGAAGCTGGTATGAATTCAGTATACCCAAGGGCTTTATACTTGTCATTCAACATGGAGATGTAGTCAGCACCAAGCTTGTAAAGTTTTAATGTCTGAGTTAGTTCGGTCACAACGTCCTGTGATGGTTTTTTCAGAGAAACCCAAGCTATCATGATTTCCGAATAGAGGAAATGTTTTGAAGGTGTGTTGAACAGCCTCTGTGCTTCTATAATCTGGTTTTCGTCCATATTTTTCCAAAGCTTGTCTTTAAGGATAGTATCAGTCAGACAAATAACACCTTCAAAAATATAATGAGAATCACCGAAACTGAAAGGGGATCGATCTTCCATGAGCAGTTTCAGAAGCCTTTCCTTAAAAGCAACATATTCTTTGGGCACTAGGTCAGCAACATGGGTGGAATCAATTTTCGTGATGAGATTGCGAAAATTTTGTTTAGTTAACTTCTTAAGTTCATCGAAATTGTTGCAAAGTACTGGAAGAACAGTTGTAATATTGCTTTCCAAAACTATGTCACAAAGTGAGTCTTCGAAGCAGTACACGAGGCCTTTTGTTCCAAAGAAAAATCTCAAGAAATCAGTTTGAGTGGTTTCACACTCATTTTTGTAAGTTCCATTACAGCAGTAGGATGAAGCATCTTTAAATAAGTAGTAACATGAACAAATACATCATTGGGTAACTCTGTTCCACACAGCTTTGCAAATTTGGACACACTGTTACAGATTTTAAATATCTCCAGGACATTATCCGAACTGAAATTCTTCTCAATCCAATCCAGGCACTGCAAGTAGATCTCGCTGATATCAAACTGTACACTAAACTTCATAAGATCCAGGATATTGTCCATGTTAAGAACAACCTCAGCTCCGTGAAGAACTAGGAGACAGTCCTGTACGTGAGTGTAGTTGTCTAGGAAGAGTTCGTTGTCCTTAGCAACTAGTTGCTGTAGTATACCGCTATGTTGACATAACACTGCCCCACTGCATTCTATCACTTCACTTTTCGTTACCACTTTAACTGTGTGGTTTATCTTATTCTCTTCTTTCAGAAACCGGGTAAAGTCAGTTTTGAAGCACAACTTAACTGCCATATTCCAGATTCCTGCTGAGGTGATAACGTTACGTTTGTGGATCGATAAAATCAAATCAGACTTAATGAAGTCAGTTATAAAACAACATAACCGTAAGGGTGGTAAAAAAAACTTTAGGTTGCTTAAATCTTTAGTTGTCAAAACCTGCTCACGTAACGCATTATCCGTGCTAATTAATGCAGTGAAATAGTGATAAAAGACGCCATAGTCGAATAGATTTATGCCCTAGTAATTTCTATCAAACCTCTTTTTTAGCATTCTTAGGAGCTGACACATTTAGTTACCTCATTTAATTACCTCAATTCTCAAACTTTCCAAAATATTGTATGTTCAGAAATGCGCGTTGTTGAACAAGTCTAATCACTGGGCAAGTATCCAAGTTAATAATCATTTTCAGACAATAGATGGAGAGAACTGGAATAACTGTGATAAATGGTGATATGTGTTTTCTAATGCCACATGAGACAAATATTCAGCTTACAACACATACTGAGAAACTTTGGTAAGGGCTGTCCGGAGTCTACTCTCATAATAAGAGAAGCATATGAGTTATATAGCTGGGAGGGATGCAAAACACAAGCTAAAAGCAAGAAAAAGCAAAATATTGATATATTGGTATTTATCTCAGGTGAAGAAATAGGTGTAGTTATTCATTTATTGATTACATTGAAATTTAGAATTTATAACGTTTAAAATTGACAAATTTGTCAATGATGCTCAACTGTCCATGTTTATTTCATACTATTAGTCATCACCCATCAGGATTCATCATAAATTTAAGAAGGCGATGAAAAATTAACATAATTCTGTGAAATTATAAAACCGGTCAATTATCTATAGTTCTCAATAATATCGAGTTGTTAACCTGGGCCTGGCCATAAAATTGAGCTGAATTTGCTTTTCGCGACCATATCATTTGACCATTCCTTTTATCTGAATCACAATCAGTTGAGAAGTTGAAATGGAGAACTGTCACTTTGTTACACACTACTTTTAGATGTGAAGAAGATTTGGTTATAATCCAGTGTTTTAGTTTATCATGTGGCACTTCATGTAAGAATCGTACACCCCATATACCTAAAGTACAATCATGAATAATAAAACTCCATTGGCTTATTTCTACGTTCTCACACCTTATACGTAACTGTTTTTGATCAGTCCTCCCCTCACCATGTAGAGTATAACAAATATAAAAACGAACTGATTTGTTATCTGTTGTAATGAACTGTACTGATTCATTTAGTAACACTCCTGAGTACCATTCATACAGTTCCGGCTCTATCCAATCTGAAAGTAAAATAATTAAGATAAGCAACAGAAACACCATGTAAGAGTGTATTAAGAAGGATGTAAGAATATAGCAGAAAATAAACAATAATATTGGGTAGTTACCATATTTAACTTCCTCTGTTTGAATAGCAACACTTGCTACCTCCTCACAATCACTATCTTCAATATCACATTCCTCTGTAGTATCATACTCTTCAGTTTCATCATCTTTAGAACTACTGGCTGTAATATCACTCTTAGTTTCAGCAAACTTTTTAACTAACTCATTGACTTCACTAGATTCTGATATCTCAGCGACTTCAGCTAATAAATTAGCTGCATCATTGAAGTACATAGGAAAATCCTGTCGAAGTTTCTGAACATCAAGTTGCTCGAGGAGGTAAAGTGAGTTTTCATCTAGCTTTTTGCACTTTAAGTTGTTGATGACGTGGGAAATAAAAGGAATCATGACTGATTTAGTAACATTTCCTGCAACTGCAACTGACATGTCAATCTGACGTTTGGAAAGCTCAGCAAAGTCTGCCATGTACCTTTGTAAAAATAAAGTTGTACCAATATCTCTGGAGACCATGTTCTTCACAAAAGAACTGACATAATTGCTTTGTTTCAGATTATAGTGAGCCCTGCTGGCGACTTCACAAGCAAACAAGATCTCCTCATACGAATTACTCCCAAAGTTCAAAACAACAGTTTTGTAAAACTTCAGACACCTTTTGGCCAACCAGGACACGTCGAATACATGTGCCATCTTGTTCACATCTTCGAATATCAGTTTCTTTAGTAGGTCCACTTCACCAGTGTACATAGACTCTACAAAACACTCTACTGCTTCCTTTGTGAAGTCATCCATCTCCAGGGACGACTGAAGAGTGAGGAAGTTGGATTTGATGAATGGAAATTTAAATGGCATGTTGAACACAGCTGATGCTGAGACTTTGAATTAATTTAAGTCAAACCCCCAACTAAAATACGTCTAGTTACTGGTGGGAGGTGAACCATATTCTGCAGGATATAATATTATGATAGCTATCAACCAATCAGTTCCAGACAAAAAAGTCATAGTTACTGATGACTGACACAATTTCAATAAAATACGGTTCATCTCCCATCAGTATCCTGATAAACTTACTAACTAAATGTACCTGAAACAAGTTGGTAGTAAGGTTGTCTATAACAGGGCTATTTAAGGACATTATCATAGAGTTAGTTTTGATCCCTTGTCCATTTTTCAGTTTCAGTAACAGATTCCCATGTGCTTCAGAATTTATGTGCTCTTTTCCAAAGTTAGCTGGTACCTTGATCCTCGGAGCCATTGCTTTTGAACCCTAACTTTAAAGTAAATTATTTTGATGTTGTAACATAATCCTATACTATTACTAACAATTAGCAAACATATTGTGAAGATAAAGTGGGCTGCATTGTGCCTACTCCCTTACATACTTACATAGCAGTGCAGGTTTAGTGTGCAATTGAGTAACTCTTGGAGAAAGATGATCTAGTCAATATCATGGACATTTTGTTTTGGCATGTCGAGAATTAGAGTTAAAACACAGGCGAAAAAAAAGAGGTGAAAGCAAGAATAAGCAAAATATTGGTTTCAAATCATTAAAAAACATTGTATGTGAACAATAGGAAACATAATATTAGTCGTTTATTTATTGTATAAATTGAAATTAAGATATTTAATAGGGTTTTTACATGAAAATGTTAACTAAACTGACAAATTTGTCTATGATGGTCAACTGTCCATGTTTATTTTATATTATCGGTCATCAGGATTCATCATATATTTAAGAAGGCGATGAAAAATTAATATAATTCTGTGAAATTATAAAACTGGTCAACTATCTAAAGTTCTCAATAATATCGAGTTGTTCAAATGGCAATAAAATTCAGCTTCATTTGCTTTTCGCGACCAAAACCTTTCACCATCCCTTTTATCTGAATCACAATCAGTTGAGAAGTTGAAATGGAGAACTGTCACTTTGTTACACACTACTTTTAGGTGTGAAGAAGATTTGGTTATAATCCAGTGTTTCAGATTATCATGAGGCACTTCATGTAAGAATCGCTTATTCCAGTCGTGTACAGTACCGCTCTCAATAAAAATACTCCATTGGCTTGTGTCTACATTCTCACATCTCATACCTAACTGTTTTTTATCAGTCCTCCCCTCACCATGTAGAGTATAACGAATATTAAAAGAACCTGATATTTTGTTATCTGCTGTAATGAACTGTACTGATTCGTTCAGTAACACTCCTGAGTGCCATACGTTCAGTTTCGGCTTTATCCAATCTGAAAGTAAAGTAATAAATAGATACAACAGACACACCATGTTAGAGATTATAAAGAAGAATGTAAGAATAGAGCAGAAAATAAACAATAATATCAGTGTATTTACCATATTCAACTTCCTCTGTTTGAATAGCAACATTTGCTACCTCCTCACAATCACTTTCATCAATATCACACTCCTCTGTAGTCTCATTATCTTCTGTATCATCATCTTTAGAACTACTGGCTGCAATATCACTCTTAGTTTCAGCAAACTTTTTAACAACCTCATTGACTTCTCTTGATTCTGATGTCTCAGCAACTTCAGCCAATAAATTGGCTGTGTCTTTAAAGTACTTGGGAAAATCCTGTCCAAGTTTTTGAACATCAAGTTGTTCAAGGAGGTAAAGTGAGTTTTCATCTAGCTTTTTGCACTTTAAATTGATGGTGACGTGGGAAATGAAAGGCATCATGACTGATTTAGTAACATTTCCTGCAACTGCAACTGAAATGTCAATCTGACGTTTGGAAAGCTCAGCAAAGTCTGCCATGTACCTTTGTAAAAATAAAGTTGTACCAATATCTCTGGAGACCATGTTCTTCACAAAAGAACTGACATAATTGCTTTGTTTCAGATTATAGTGAGCCCTGCTGGCGACTTCACAAGCAAACAAGATCTCCTCATACGAATTACTCCCAAAGTTCAAAACAACAGTTTTGTAAAACTTCAGACACCTTTTGGCCAACCAGGACACGTCGAATACATGTGCCATCTTGTTCACATCTTCGAATATCAGTTTCTTTAGTAGTTCCACTTCACCAGTGTACATAGATTCTACAAAACACTCTACTGCTTCCTTGGCAAAGTCATCCATCTCTAGGGACGACTGAAGAGTGAGGAAGTTGAATTTGATGAATGTAAACTTTTACTGGCATGTTGAACACAGCTGATACTGAGACTTTGAATTAATTAAAGTCAAACTCCCAACTAAAATACGTCTGGTTACTGGAGGAAGGTGAACCATATTCTGCAGGACATATCATGATAGCTATCAACCAATCAGTTCCAGACAAAAAAGTCATAGTTACTGATGACTAACACAATGTCAAGAAAATACGGTTAATCTCCCATCGGTATCCTGATAAACTTACCAACTAAATGTACCTGAAATAAGTTGGTAGTAAGGTTGTCTATAACAGGGCTATTTAATGACATTATCATAGAGTTAGTTTTGATCCCTTGTCCATCTTTCAGTTTCAGTAACAGATTCCCATGTGCTTCAGAATTTATGTGCTCTTTTCCAAAGTTAGCTGGTACCCTGATCCTTGGAGCCATTGCTTTTGAACCCTAACTTTAAAATAAATTATTTTGATGTTGTAACATAATCCTATACTAATAATTAGCAAACATATTGTGAAAAAATAAAGTGGGCTGCATTGTGCCTACACCCTTACATAGCAGGATTAGTGTGTATTTTAGGTACTCTTGGAGAAAGATGATAGTCAATATCATGAACATTTTGTTATGGCATGCCGAGAATTATAATTAAGACAGGCGAAAAACAAGAGTTGAAAGCAAGAATAAGCAAAATATTGGTATCAAATCATTTAAAAACATTGTATGTGAACAATGGGAAACATAATATTAGTCGTTTATTTATTGAAATTAAGATATTTAATAGGGTTTTTACATGAAAATGTTAACTAAACTGACAAATTTGTCAATGATGCTCAACTGTCAATGTTTATTTTATATTATCTGTCATCAGAATTCATCATAAATTTAAGAAGGGGATGAAAAATTAATATAATTTTGAGAAATTATAAAACCGGTCAACTATCTAAAGTTCTCAATAATATCGAGTTGTTAAACTGGCAATAAATTTCAGCTGAATTTGCTTTTCGCGACCAAAACCCTTCACCGTCCCTTTTATTTGTATCACAGTCAGTTGAGAAGTTGAAATGGAGAACTGTCACTTTGTTACACACTACTTTTAGGTGTGAAGAAGATTTGGTTATAATCCAGTGTTTCAGTTTACCATGTGGCACTTCATGTAAGAACTGGTTATCCCATTCGTTTACAGTACAGTCATCAATAGTATAACTCCATCGATTTGTGTCTACATTCTCACATCTCATGTCGAATCGTTTTTGATCAGCCCTCCCCTCACCTAGAGTATAACGAATACGAAAAGAACCTGATACTACGTTATCTGCTGTAATGAACTGTACTGATTCGTTCAGTAACACACCTGTGAACCATTTTCGCAGTTCCGGATCTATCCAATCTGAAAGTAAAGTAATATATAGATGCAACAGACACAAGCACCATGTAAGTGTTTATAAAGAATAATGTAAGAACATAGCAGAAAATAAACAATAATATCAGTGTAGTTACCATATTTAACATCTTCTGTTTGAATAGCAACATTTGCTACCTCCTCACAATCACTATCATCAATATCACATTCCTCTGTAGTCTCACTATCTTCAGTATCATCATCTTTAGAACTACTGGCTGCAATATCACTCTTAGTTTCAAGAAACTTTTTAACTAAGTCATTGACTTCACTAGATTCTGATATCTCAGCAACTTCAGCTAATAAATTAGCTGCATCATTGAAGTACATAGGAAAATCTTGTCGAAGTTTCTGAACATCAAGTTGCTCGAGGAGGTAAAGTGAGTTTTCATCTAGCTTTTTGCAATCTAAGTTGTTGATGACGTGGGAAATAAAAGGCATCATAACTGATTTAGAAAAATTTCCTGCAATTGCAACTGACATGTCAATCTGACGTTTGGAAAGCTCAGCAAAGCCTGCCATGTACCTTTGTAAAAATAAAGTTCTACCAATATTTCTGGAGACCATGTTCTTCACAAAAGAACTGACATAATTGCTTTGTTTCAGATTACAGTGAGCCCGACTGGCGACTTCACAAGCAAACAAGATCTCCTCATACGAATTACTCCTAAAGTTCAAAACAACAGTTTTGTAAAACTTCAGACACCTCTTGGCCAACCAGGACACGTCGAACACATGTGCCATCTTGTTCACATCTTCGAATATCAGTTTCTTCAGTAGGTCCACTTCACCAGTGTACATAGATTCTACAAAACACTCTACTGCTTCCTTTGTGAAGTCGTCCATCTCCAGGGACGACTGAAGAGTGAGGAAGTTGAATTTGAATCTGAATGTAAAATTTAAATGGCATGTTGAACACAGCTGATGCTGAGACTTTGAATTAATTAAAGTCAAACCCCCAACTAAAATACGTATAGTTACTGGTGGGAGGTAAACCATATTCTGCAGGACATATTATGATAGCTATCAACCAATCAGTTCCAGACAAAAAAGTCATAGTTACTGATGACTGACACAATGTCAAGAAAATACGGTTCATCTCCCATCAGTATCCTGATAAACTTACTAACTAAATGTACCTGAAACAAGTTGGTAGTAAGGTTGTCTATAACAGGGCTATTTAATGACATTATCATAGAGTTAGTTTTGATCCCTTGTCCATCTTTCAGTTTCAGTAACAGATTCCCATGTGCTTCAGAATTTATGTGCTCTTTTCCAAAGTTAGCTGGTACCCTGATCCTTGGAGCCATTGCTTTTGAACCCTAACTTAAAAATAAATTATTTTGATGTTGTAACATAATCCTATACTAACAATTAGCAAACATATTGTGAGAAAATAAAGTGGGGCTGCATTGTGCCTACTCCTTTGCATAGCAGGTTAAGCACGTGCATTTTAGTTACTCTTGGAGAAAGATGATAGTCAATATCATGGACATTTTGTTATGGCATGCCGAGAATTAGAATTAGAAGACAGGCGGAAAACAAGAGTTGAAAGCAAGAATAAGCAAAATATTGGTTTCAAATTGTTTAAAAACATTCTATGTGAACAATGGGAAACATAATGTTAGTCGTTTATTTATTGTATAAATTGAAATTAAGATATTTAAAAAGTTAAAAATTGTAAATTTATCAATACTTAAAACTATTTATACCCTGATAAAAACGATTAACAAGTTTGAAAATATATAATGTAAATTATAGAATATGTTAATTCAATTTAAAAATTCCTGAATAATGAACATGGTTATGTTAAGAGAATTTAATAACTATTTCAAATTCATATTCCCTGTAAATATAAGAATTGTTGATAAGTATTAAGTAATGTACTATTATTAAATTACATCAAAGCAATAAAATGTCATGACATGATAAGTGTTAAGGATTAATACTCTTTCTAGAAAATAGAAAACATCATATAATATGCATGCTACATCCTTTTACACATAAATACTAAATACTTGATGGATAGATAAAAATAGAATCCTTAGATTAAAAAACAAGAAATTTCCAATATGGACTTAAATGTCTGGACGATAAACTTAATCAATTAAAAATTATAGTAAAATTGGTATGAATATCATCTCATAATGTGGTATACAAATACAATACAAATAGGTGAAGTTAAATTGTTCTTCAAGCACCAGAAATGTTGTTTGTTACGTCACCACCTTCATCTATTTCTCCTGAAATGTAGAACACAATGTAAGTTATGTTAAAGATTCCCTTCCCAGACCAGTCATTGACAGATTGCCGTATTTTGGATCTGTCATTAAAAGGTACCTAGAAAAGGTATCAGGCAACTTTTAAACATATAATGGTAGTTTTGACTTCTGACTGCTGCTATAATGCTAGATTCAAACTTTTCGTATCACTTATTATATGTTTTAAACAAATCCCCAACCAGGCTAGATTCGTAAGTTTAACTTTAAACCAATGACTAAGCATCCCCATACAATAAGCTACCAAAAATAAAATTTGATTACTAACTTCTGCCAGTTATTCCTGCTTCCATGTTCCCTTGCTGTCCATAGGATGCCCTGGAACTTTTGGTTTTTTCTAACCATCTCTCATAAAATTCTTGATCCATCACCTTCATAGCAAGCTCAGGATAGTTATGGGTTTCTATTTTCTTCCACTCTTTGAGCCAGCACTTCAACAACTTTTTATTCACCACTCCATCATTTTTGTTGACTTTTTGGTGCAAGAAAGCTAAAATAATTCGCTTTGCCCCATATTCCGAATTTTTCCATACAGGAACTTTCTTTTCTTGTCTAGACATCAAGGCTCGTTCAAGGAAAGTTGTTACATTAGGACTCTCAACAAGTATCTTTACAGCTATATTCGAACAAACGTTCAATATCTTTTGTTCACTATCATTATCTCCAGAAGAGTACCATGGAGATTCAGAAGTGTTTCCAAATGGGTTGCAGCATAATGACAGGATTTCAAATTTGATTTCTTCATCCAATGCCTTGGTATCCAAGGTAGAAATAATCTTCATTAAATCCAAGGAATACTGTTCATCAGCCCACTCAATAATTCCAGAAAAAGCTCCAACATTGAGCACATTTATGAGCATATCAGGCTTGTTCTGTGCTATGTTAAGGAAGAATCCAGGGACAGGATACATTGACTTCATTGCACTACCTCGTAGCTCAGGCGTCGAATAGATTTGGGCAATTTTGAGCATGGCAGCTTCACAAAATTTATAATTTCTTAGATTTCCTCGACCATCGTGATTAGATGTCATAGCTATTGGTCCATCTACACATGATCGAATCAAAAAGCCTATGACAAACCATCCTAGAACTTCACCAGTATCATCACTTTCAATCATGTATTTCATTTCGAAATCAATATCCTCGTCCTCAGATTCAAAGAAAGGCCTACCCGAAGGGAATCTTTTGACCACCTCTGTATAAGCAACAGATCTCAAATCTGTGAAAAGAAGGAATTGGGGCATTCCTGGTACTGCCCAAACTGTTTTATAGTAGATGTCCATAGAAACATTATTATTGCTACTCATTCTAGTGAAAGAATGTAACCTCAAGCCAAAATCAGAGATGCTGAAATTGTCAGAATTTGTATCCTCTTTCCTAGATTCTTCTCTGATGAATTGGTACATTCTTTCCAGCATTGCAGCAGTGTTGTGGTCAATTTTCAAGAACATTGTTTCTAAGATCTTGTAACATTGCTCACCAGACAATTTGGATATCATTGTAAAATCAGGTTCTTTACAAACTGTTTTGTGTATTCTCCAGTGAGATTTTTGTTCTTCCCTGCTTGCGTACCAAGCACATTTACACTGAGCACAGCGTAACAACTTTTCTTTAACTTCAAATGACTTGTAGCATAATGGTCTTTGCAGTATTGACATATCCATTTTCACTATCTAATCAATAACTGATAATATTTGAAGTAAATAAGCTATATAGTATTCATAACACTAATACTAATAAAAAAGTCACTACAAATTAATAGTATCATT